GTAAACAAAAACATGTTTCGGTCATCAAAGTAAACAAAAACATGTTTCGGTCATGAACGTAAACAAAAACATGTTTCGGTCATCAAAGTAAACAAAAAAATGTTTCGGTCATCAACGTAAACAAAAATGTGTTTCAGTCATTGAAGTAAACAAAAACACATTTCAGTGATCAAAGTAAACAAAAACATGTTTCAGTCATCAACGTAAACAAAATCATGTTTCGGTCATTAAAGTAAATAAAAACATGTTTTGGTCATGAACGTAAACAAAAACGTTTCAGTCATCAAAGTAAACAAAAATATGTTTCGGTCATCAACATAAACAAAATCATGTTTCGTCATCAAAGTAAACAAAAACTTGTTTCGGTCATCAAAGTAAATAAAAACAAGTTTCAGTCATGAACGTAAACAAAAACGTTTCAGTCATCAAAGTAAACAAAAATATGTTTCGGTCATCAACGTAAACAAAAACATGTTTCGTCATCAAAGTAAACAAAATCATGTTTCGTCATCAACGTAAACACAAATATGTTTTGGTCATCAACGTAAACAAAAACATCTTTCGTCATCAAAGTAAACAAAAACATGTTTCAGTCAATAAAGTAAACATAACATGTTTCTGTAACCAAAGTAAACAAAAACATGTCTCAAGACTATGAAGTAAAAAAATAACATGTTTCAGTTGATGAAGTAAACAACATGTTCCAGTCATAAAAGTAAACAAAAACAAGTTTCAGTCTATGAAGTAAACAAAAACAAGTTTCAGTCTATGAAGTAAACAAAACACATTTCAGTTGACAAAGTAAACAAAAACCTGTTTTGGTCATCAAAGTAAACACAAACAACATACCCTGCCGTGAACTCGTGGGGTAAATAATGTGGTCGACACTTCTCTGTTAGCTGCTCCAAAGCCTTTGGAGCAAGAGCTGTTTATCAGAGTACAGTTTCTGCTCCAACCTTTATCAGAATCAGAATCAGTTTATTTTGCCATGTCAATGAACGAGGTTCACAAACTAGGAATTTGCTTCGACATAAAGCTGCAAATAATAATAAAGTAAAATAAAGTAAAAATGAAAACATGTGTACACCCGTACAATAGAAAACAATAAAAAAACTTGTAAAACAGTACAGATGGAGTATTCAATTATAATACAGATGTAATGTGACCAAATCAGAAATTATGAGGTAGCATTATGAGTGTTCAGGAGTAGACGCACACTCCGCCTCCTCGTGACTTCGCCGTTAGTTCGCTGCAGCGGTCCGCTCGAAAAGAAAGTGTCGTCCAGCTGGAACTCTGAGTCCAGCGTGTCGCTGTTAAGCCATGATTCTGTGATGTTCCGTGACGTAATGTTATTAAAACTAATATGAAAACAATGTAACTATAATGTAACAAACTAACTAATTAAAGTAATGTAACTAAAACTTATATTAAAGTAATGTAACTAAAACTTATATTAAAG